TGTTACTAAGTAAACAATGCAGCGAATGAAGGAAAGGAAAAAAGTTATTTATTGTTCCGGCTAAAGGTTGAAGGTAAAACTGTTTTTTCAACCTAAGCACTGGGTGAGATTTTGTTTTAAAAATTAACGTATTCATATTTTGCTCTTAGACTAAGTCTGAAACAGTCACGTTAATCCCAAATATACTCTGTTTTAATTTATTACATACTTTAAATGTTACCAATGTAATTATTTAACAAAAAGCTTACAACTAGAATAAAATTAATAATGAATAGAAAATAAATAAATTGTAATGCAGAACTGGATCATGCATTTATCTCAATGAACATTAAGAGATTCTCAATCACTTCAAACTGCGTAAATAAGTTGCAATTATAACCTAGTCCATTTCCATAATGGCTAAACATAAATCGGCCAATAAAAAGTAAAACGCGCGAACACCCGCAATATAGATGATTGAAATGCTTTTACAATGAAAATATCGCTAGGTGTCACACAATTCACTTTAGCCCCATTCGGTGTCGATGTCTTGTCGCTAATGGCCTCATTGTCTGTCTAGACATTAAATGATTTGATATTTGCATCATTACGATTTAATGTGGCTACTACTTTCCTGCAATGGAGCGTGGCAGTTGGAAGTCTTTCATCATTTGTAGCGGCGTCTGGCACGGTCTGAACATTATCTGGTTTGTCATAAACATGTTGAAATTGAGAAACATTGTCATCGTTACCTTTAGTATCATCATTCTTAATCATATTAATAGTAATGGTAATGAGTTTGTCCATGACATAAGGTTAATGGTGACTGATGTTTTTTCTCATCGTCTTTAAAGTTGTCAGCATTATGATGTGATTCCTAGCGAGGGACAAACAAACGGGTATAAAGTGAAACCTATTATTGAAGGCGAGAAGTTTTCGCTATGGCGTCAACACAGTGACAGTGGTTTTTCTCGAGGTGACAATCAAAATTTGTGTTCAAGGGATTTCGACATTTTTATTGATGCTTGATGTACTGGTATATCTTTTTATCAAGAACCAGTTTGAAGAAGAAGTATTTTATCTTGTTTAAATGCTGCAATTAAAGTAATTTCACACAGCATAAATTTATCTTATTTTAACACCGCATACCAGAATAAGTAACAGAATTATTTTACCTGGTATGTAAAGTACAGATCAAATAAATAAAGTATAGCGAGTATTTGAACATATGATTTTCTTGTAGTCAAGCTAATCTAGATCTCCTTCCTAACATACAAAACGTACAGTAAAAATTAACTATTCATTGAACCCCCAGTTCTACCGCAACTCAATCTCGTTGAATAGCAGCGATCGGACCATTAACCTGAATTTAGTTAATTACTTCTTTAATTTAGATATCCGCACTATCATACTTGTCACTTGGTTAGCCATAATAACCGCTTTATTTATAAGTATCCGGTCGCCAATGTAATGTCATAAAATAAATAGGCTTCGAAAGGCCAATGTGCACATAATGAGTGATTAGATCGTTTACAAAAAATCTATCTTGACTCGTGAAGTCCATTGCAACTGTGACTGATTGACTGATTTATCAACGCAGTTCTAACACTTAAGCATGACACATTTGGCTCAGGGGACAGACATAATAATATGAACATCAAACGATACAATTTTGTAGCAGTCTCACCTCAGATGCCATTAATGTAACTTTAAAATTCTTATTCTACGAGTATATTGCTATTCGCTCACGATCACACGATATTCAAAAATAATGTAGGACAATATTGACCCTATTGGGTCCATGTGTACAGTATAATATGACCGTCAACCGTAAAGGATCTTTCAAAATTTCCGATGAATTATCGCCAGTGCAGTATTTACTTACAATCTGTAGGGTTATTTTCAAGCTTAATTACTGATCGTATCTTCACTGTGGTTATGGTGTAAACTGATTCTAAAATACCCGATTCTAAGTGATTTCGTTTCTGATTATAAGATAATTCTCGATTAAATTACGCAATGACTGAGACAGTGATTGGATAATAGGTTTTCATTATTAACCTGTTATTGATATCTGTCTGAGATTATTTTCTTGTTAGCCAGATCGATTACTGTAACTGTTGTGATTTGCAACAATGTTGTGATTTATTTACTAAGTTTAGTGTAAGTTGCCAAATGTTACAGTGAATCTTCAACAACTTTATACATATTTTCTTATTCAACTTTACACTTATGTTGAGTTGCATCACCTATTTTAACGGTAACTATAACGATAACCGGTGCTTTTTGTACGGAGTTTGACAGATTTTAAACTTTTGTACAAGTTAAAGTATGATGGGCAGCCTTAGACTTTTTTGTCTTAATGTCAATTACATTTGAAATCAAAATATACCTATGTACTAAGGACTATCTAAAATCGCGTACCTTACTATGAAATCTAGTTTAAAACTCGTTTAAATCTCAAGTACCTATCAGAGATTTGTTAAATTAAAATGTATAGACCAATCCCTGTGATTGACCCTGTGGTCAACTCAATTAAGAGTCTTAAAATAAGCTTATGTTTGCACTTAATATTGAACGCAATTCCATAATAACCATAATTTAAAAAAAATGTCGCTCAGAATGGTCCCAGTCTTAATGCAAAATTTGATTTACACTCAAGTCACTTTACATTTTGCTATAGGTAAGTTGTTATTAGCTGTTTACTTAATCGAAACATTATCAACTGATTAGCACTGCTTGTGTTTTGTGGGGTTTCCCAGGGTACAACTTTGAGTCCAGTTTATTTTTAGCTAAAATGTCTAACAAATCGCTCTCACATTCCGTCGCCATATGAAAACCATATCATCATCAGACCTACACGCTTGGTGATGTATCTATTAAGGGTGGGACCAAAATAAAAGCGATTCAAGAGACAAAATATAAACAGATGTTAGATCCATTACTTGGATTGTGTTGGGAAAGGTCAGGTTCTTTTAGAGATGTTTAAAATTAATAGTGATACTGATAATATGTTACGTTTTTAATATATCAATACTCTTTGGTACGAGAAATTAGTAAAAATACCACGCAGAAGGGGTTAAGTGATAAGACTAACGTCATATGCCATTATTTATTCAAACCAAAGAAAAGCTTCATTGTTATTTCTATGCTAAATAATCCTAAGCTCATTTCCTGTTCAAATAGGATAACTGCAACTTTAAGTTCACACCCAAACACATGTTTGTCATAACCCTTTTTTCTAAAATTACTAATTCAACTGTTTTATTGGTTGTTAAAAATATAAGATAAGTATTCACGTTATAATACTGTGTTTATGCGTTATAAAGGAGCACAAAATTCTTTAAAATTCTTTGAAAACTCGACTCCATGATAAAAAAAGCTTACATTAATAATCATGAAAAACAATTGAATTCTAATAAGGGAATATACAAATACATAAAATACAGTTAGTTATTATGCTTTATTTTCAAAATCTTTTAATGTAAAATTAAGAGCCAACTCAACTTTTACTTAAATTCCATTAAAGCCAGGATCTTTTGTAGTAAAGAAAGATATTTTTAAAACTGTATACATAGTGTACCTACCATTGTGAATGAACACTCGGGTGGTAATTAAGCCGTTGTGAGGGTAGTTAGGACTTAATAAGTGCACCTAATTAGTCAAATCCTACATAACGCTGTCATTACGGGCAAACACACTTAAATCTCACTTAGAACGTGTAGTACAGGCCAAGAGCGGAGAGCGGGAGCAGTTTCTATTGTTTTTTAACGTCTGCTCTTTACAATGGATACTAGCCGGTTTTGATTTTGATTATACTCGATATTCTTTGTATTAGACCTAAGACCAATTTGCACGCACCGTTATAAGGCGATGAGATAATGATTTACATATTTTCCGCACAATAATAGCTGCCATTTAAAAATCATAAAGCCGTTGTAATAATTTTGAAACAATTAAACATAACAGTGAGCACTTGTGCCTATAAACCATAGACTGTATTTATGGATATAGCAATAACAGTATAGCTGAATAAAAATCACCTTGTATTTCGTCCGTATGGTCACATCAAAATACATTGTTATAAATCACATCACGTGAATAAATAAATAAAAATGTTGTATTTATTCAGAAAAATCAACAATTAAGCATGTTCTAAAATACAGAAATCGTCAATAATACGTCTTGGAGATTATTATTTAGTTCGCCAAAGGACTTTCACTCTCTTTACCTGTTACGTAAGTAAGAAACATATTACTAAATATTTGAATAAAATTAAGTTCCAGGTGAAACATTTTCTTTTAAAGAAAATTCTAATAAAATACTCTTTGAAAGTAATGAGAATTACCGTTAGGAGTTGCAATTTGAGTTGCAATTTTAACCAGGGTTTTGAGACTCACTTAAAACGTCTGGCAAACGCTATAAGAAGAACACTCATAAAAAATAACTGATTATAAACTCTATCGTCAATGTTAGGATCTGTCTTATCCACACCTTATTTTAGGGTGAAAAAGGATCCACCTCCCATCGCTATGGTTATACCTTGGAACATACCCCTTCGCCCCCGTACAGAACCATCAACATATCAGCGCGGGGCGGCTGCTGGCTTGATTTACATTTACTCTTGAACCTGTCCGGTCGTACTTCATTTGTATCCCGGACTATTGTGGGTAAACACTTTTAATGTTACCCCATAACTTACGTCAGACTTGGAAAACTTTAGAGCTTGGAGAGGTCAGTTAATGGAAGTTGGCAAAACCTCGCTTTGTGGTAGCAATGGAAAGTGTTCGAATTACTTTATTGCAGAAAGGATGATGCAATTTTTAAGAGCTTATTTTCCGCATTAACATCCATTTCTAACCTACCTAAAACATTTTTACCGCTCGTTTGTAAAACACTTTGTTCACTTATTTTTATAACACGTTTTTTGGCCTATTCGAAAGCATTTTAAAAACAGCGAACAAGTGCCGAACAAACAGTCCACGAGCAACTCAACAAAAAAAATCAGCATCGCCACTTACCTGTCAAACTCAATACAGTAAAGTTCCAAGCACTCGACACATCACTGCGTACACAACACTGCACACGAAAAAAAATACACAAAGAATCACGCACGAAAAAATTGAGCGTCACTGAAAAATATCCAGCCAGTGTTAAGTTACGTTGTGAATCGATTGTGAATATCGTAATCGGTAAACAATCGTTGTTTCTATACGCATACGTGTTGCCGGGCTGCGCGTGGACGTAGCACTGGCGCTTGCGCATTGAACTTGGCAGCGCGCTGAAAAGCTCGCGCCGATATGTGCGGCGTTACCGTTTTTGATGGATTCGTATAGTTTGATCGCTTTGCTTTTAGTGGTTTATTATTTTTGGCCTACTTTAAGAGCTGTTATTGATCTGTAAGTATAGGTTTTGTAATGACACGAATTTGTTATCTATGGAATTTAGAATTAACATTTTGCACTTATTATACCGCACCCAGAAAAGTTTTAATAAGTGTCATTTAAATCCAATTCGTTAATCGTACTCGTTTAAGATTTGTAAGATTGATTGAGTTAGAAAATATGTATTTAATTAAATGATACAATAATTATTAGGTAAGTATGATATTATGAGTTTTCTGAGAAATATTAATGAATGAACAAATTAACAGTTCTGGTCAATGTAAAACTCAAATGTTCCACCCGTACCGTACCGTACGCGACACTACTTGTACGGTCGGTTCGAAAAGTAATTTCGACTGACCATTGTATCTTAAATAGAGGCAGCGTACCTGCTTTTGAGGAAGTAATGAGTGTCATTGTCATCCTATTCCATAATAGTTAATTTTAAACCCTAACTCAAAGGACTACGGTACAAAGTACAGTTTTAGCACTCGGGTCGGTGTGAGGTTTTTAAAAAGTATTTATGCAAACTGATTGTCTCCAGGATTGTTGATGTGTTTTGGCACCCTTTCATCTGTCAGCTCGTTGAGATGCATTGTGAGTGTGTAAATGAGGCAGTTACTCATTTCGACCCACATTTAGGTGGTAATTGAATGGAAAGAACAGCGGTTTTTAATTAAGAAACCAAAGATAAAGTACTTGAATAATTTTTGCGGTAAGTTTATAAGAAGTCGCATTTTTAAGCGACAAAGCACTCGTTTCTGTTGTCACTACATTCTTGACAAACTTACACGATTTTTTCTATTCTCTAGATTAGGTACTAAACAATCTTTAAAACACATAACACCTGCCTTTGTTGAGACGTAGGTATAATTTGTAGAAAAGATAAGGTTATAAAATAATATCTTCAATAAGTTGCTACGAAGTAAAAATTATAGAAACCCATAACCATCACCATGTGCAACAAAAAATTACAATAAATTGCAAAAACTCGAGTTACAATCATCAATTTCGATATTGTTTCATGAAATAAAGCCAAGAGTCGTTAGGTCGAATGTCCTTTCGCCATTTAAACCCGTATCTTTTGCGTCCATTCCTCTTTAGATAGACGAATGCGCATATTATTGAGAGCGAAGTCAATTCGGTTCAGTGACCAAGTGGACACTCTACCTAACACTAAGTTGGAGAAAACTTGCCTAAAATTAGTTCTGCGACTGGATTTTTGCCTTTAATCCTTTATGCTTCAAGTAAGCGCTAACTGTCGCAAACAGCGCTTTTTACAGCTGCACTTTAAATGGGGAATTAATTGATATGGACTATTTTTACTGCAGTTATTTACGCCACGGGTCGTGTTTCGTGCATGTATCTGTGTGTTAGAAAGGAAGGATATTCAGTAGGGTTAGTAGGTAAAATTAAAAATATCAGCCAAATATTTTCAAAACTTTAGACCTACTCATAAAATGTTCACATATTTTCTTTGAAATACGAGTTGATAATACAACCAGAATAAATTATAGGTAGGTATACTAAAAGGTTCTACTCCAATATAATAAGTAAGCGTGTCTTTCGCATCAATAACAATTCGGCGCTTTTGAATACAAAAGCTATTATAAAAGTTTTGTCTCATCAAATTGGCTAATAAAAAGTTTTTACACATCCCAACACAACCTTTTTGACATGAACTCTACCTACCATCGCTTTGGGACCATTATGAAACATTTTCAGTCCCTTTTTCAATAGTTTTACCAGATAATTCATCGGGGCTAGACAGTTTAAGTCCACAGATTTTTGTCTGATCATAGTTTAAAGGTTGTATTAACTAGTGACCGGGGTAATATTTCTAGATTTATCTCCATTGTGCTAATGCGCATTAAAATCTTAAATATCGTGTTTCTATGGAGGCGTCTTCAGCAGGATTAAAGTGTTAAGCCACACATGAGCCAAAAAGGCAAAAGATGTTAGTTTACGTGTCTACTTGACATACTCGTAAATATCGTAGATTTATCTTTACATTTCCTAATCTTCAAGGCGGTCGCTCAACAAAACCCTTTCTTAACTATGATTACCTTATAGATTTTTTAAGGCAGAATAAAGCAGGCATTTCACTGCAATTACTCCTTATGTTAAGTGAGATGCAGTCTAGGATTTATAGGATTAAAAATATCTATTTAATACTTAATTTAACCTACAACTAAAATAATGCTTAATCACTAACCAATTAGAAGCAAACACTTTAAAAAAATTGATCATTGACTATTTCCGATTTCTCAAGTATTTTTTTTTTCACTTTTCCTTCTACATAATATTGCGTTTTATAGATACTTACAGATTACAGATAGATTTTACAAAATCCATTGTGATTCTATTGTTATTTGTATTCGAGCTTTCTTTACCCTAATGTCGTAAAGCTCGCGGATTCACAACTCAATTTCTCGAAAAGCTTTTATAGTTAGAAAGAGTTATTGACTGTATATTGAAACGTGATCTGTGTAACTTATTCTGTGGTCAAACTAATGGAATGAACAAAAGAAATAAAATAAATACGACTTAAAAATCATTTCAAAGTAATAAAACAAAAGACTGAATGATGATGAAATTTCAAATGATTGTAAATTTTATGATAGAATAAACATTTGCAACCTCAATGATTGTAGGTATAGGTTAAACTTAAAGTGATTGCTGTAGAAACTGTTTAAAAGCACAGTAAATAATAGAAAATTTCTTCTTACTGTGACCAGTAACATAATAAGTAGGTATATACTTAGTTGGATTTTGTTTCGTTGTCATTGTCCGATCCTACCACAAAGTTAGGATTTTTCCAGTCTGAAATAATCTAACAAGTACAGATTCTATAGTTAAATAGGGCGTTCAAAAATGTGTATGCGAATCTTATTTACATCTATGTATTTAGAAAAATAACATGTATTTAAAAAACTTACAAAAACTGTATTTCAGAGATTTTAATAAAATAAAAGCTTTAACGAGAGGATCGCGACTAATGAATAAAAATCTCATAAAAATTGCCATAAAGTTAGGCTCATGGAATAATACAATCCATGTTATAATGACGACTAAAAAAGAACTAGCAAATTCCGGTTTTCTATTACTAAATCTAGTGCTAGACAATGAATTTGTCCACATTCCTGAAATTTATCGCATACGCAATTAGGCGCGCCATAAACCACGTCGCCCACTAACTCACCCCTGAAATATAGCTGTACAAACATACAGAACGTGCTATTTTATTAACAAGTATTAGAATAAGGGCCTTGCCACACTGGCGGATTGCAAGCGTTTTCAAAGCGGAGCGGCGACGCGGCGAACACGCCGCGGTTTGTTGCAAGCGTTTTCTAAGCCGCGTACCGGCGACGTTTTCGCTGCGTCACCGCTCCGCTTAAAAACGCTTGCAAACCGCCTGTGTGGCAGTTCACTAAGGCTGAGTTGCACCACCTAACTTTGACCGTAACTATGACGATAACCGGTATTTCTTGTATGGAGTTTGACAGATTTTTGACGTTTGTCAAAGTTAAAGTAAGATGGTGCAACCCAGCCTAAGAGGTGAACGTTCAGCGGCGCCGGCTGTCTGTCTCTCTGTCACAGATAGTGTGGTCAGCTGTCATAAAATGCGGGACAAAAAAATGAGACGTAGACGTATAAAACGCGTCGTTATATTTTATAGCTTTTTAATGCTTGCAAAAGGAATTACCTTTCATACGTATGTTTCGATTATATGCAACGAATATAATGGCGATTGTTGATCATTATTTTGTAGTGAATTTTTCAGTGAGATTCATAATTACCTAAAGCTTTTGATATCATAATATTTAGCTCGACTTACATATTATGCTAATTTTTATCTATGTAGAATAATAGGTATTGTTCCAACCCCTTTATACTTACTTTTTCCTTTAGTTAGTTTACTTTTCTGTAGTTAATACATTTTTTTATGTTAACATTTGCCTTATTTGGGAATAAATTGGAATCTCTAATTTACGCAAATCTAGATACCTATAATTATATTATTAATCATGAGGACAAAGCAAAAATGTAGTAAGTAGTAGGTCTATGTATAAACAGGTGAGAAATATTAACTGAGTCATTTTTAGGGTTCCGTAGCNAGAGGTTTGGTTGCCACAAAAAAAAAATAAAAAAAAATGGTGCAACCAAGCCTAACTCTACCATCGCTTTTGGACCAACGCAAAAAAACCCGGTAACTATTTTCAATCCCTTTTTTCAATAGTTTTACCAGACAATTCACGGGGCTAGGCAGTTTTAAATCCACAGATTTTTGTCTGATCATAGTTTAAAGGTTGTATGAAAGTGAACGGGTGTAATCTTTCTAGATTTATTTCCATTGTGCTAATGTGCATTAAAATCTTAAATATCGTGTTTCTATGGAGGCGTCTTCAGCAGGATTAAAGTGTTAAGCCACACATGAGCCAAAAAGGCAAAAGATGTTAGTTTACGTGTCTAGTTGACGCACTCGTAAATAGCGTAGATTTATTTTTACATTTCCTAATCTTAAAGGCGGTCGCTCTACAAAACCCTTTCTTTACTATGATTTTACCTAAAAGATTTTTTAAGGCAGAATAAAGCAGGTATTTGTCCTTATGTTAAGCGAGATGCAGTCTAGGATCGATAGGATTAAAAATATCTATTTAATACTTAATTTAACCTACAACTAAAATAATGCTTACTCACTAATCAATTAGAAGCAAACACTTTAAAAAAATTGATCATCGACTATTTCCAATTTCTCAAGTATTTTTTTTTTCACTTTTCCTTCTACATAATATTGCGTTTTATAGATACTTACAGATTACAGATAGATAAATTTACAAAATCCATTGTGATTCTATTGTTATTTGTATTCGAGCTTTCTTTGCCCTAATGTCGTAAAGCTCGCGGATTCACAACTCAATTTCTCGAAAAGCTTTTATAGTTAGAAAGAGTTATTGACTGTATATTGAAACGTGATCTGTGTAAGTTATT